TAATGGTTAGATTTAGGGTTAGGTACTTGTAATGGTTAAATTTAGGGTTAGATACTGGTAATGTTTAAATTTAGGGTTAGGTATGTATTGGTAATGGTTAAATTAAATGTTATGTATGTACTGGTAATGGTTAGATGCAGGGTTAGGTATTGTAATGGTTAAATTTAGGGTCAGGCTATAGAAATGAATGAAAAATGAATTGAAGTCAATGCAAAGTCCACGTAAAGATAGCAAGACAAACATGTTTGTGTGTGTGTGTGTGTGTGAGAGAGAGAGAGAGAGAGAGGGAGAGAGAGAGAGAGAGAGAGAGAGAGAGAGAGAGAGAGAGAGAGAGAGAGAGAGGGTGGAGGCAGTGAGTGGGAGGGAGGAGAGTCAGAGAGGATTCTTGGTGGGAGAGCATTTGCCAGTTTGAAGAGCTGAGAGTGAGGCCAGGAGGTGAACGATAGACAAGGAGCAGCAAGTGGAGACAGACAGAGGAGATAAGTGAGCACTAGAAGGGAGGAGGAGGAGTGGGGAGGCGCAGGCTGTGAGTCATCAGTCCATGTCTCTGTCTCTGGGAGCACCTGACGTCCAGAGGCCACTCTGTGAGTGAAGTTTGCTGCGCTGCTCCGTGCTGGACGTCAGCCCGTCCTGCTGGGTCTCCAGAGTTTCTCCACGCGGCTGAATCCTGCGTTTCCATCCAGCTGGGGTGTGTTATGTAATTTGATGTGGTGTGTTTGTGCAGGCGAACTGATCTGAGCCAGGAGTTTGATGGTGACAGGAAGACGAGTGGAGTGTGTACTTCACCTCATGTTTAACACCAGGGAGGTTTTTTTCTGTCACTTTATTCTGATGCATGTTTTTAAATATTCTTTTGCAGCCATAATTTAGAGATTCTGTATAAATAAAGGTTGAATGGACGAAAAATAGAGAATTTAGGAGAGCGGAGTTGTATTTTGTGGGGCAGCTGCAGCTGGAGGTGAATCCCTGTTTGAAAAACATCCATATTCTGAACTGTCCCCGTTTCATTAAATACTGCAGTACCTTTCTTGATTACAGATTCACTCGTTGTGTAATACTCGTGAGGCAGTGTTGTATATTAATGATTCAGGCTCTGTTTTCTTCACCTACATTTGAATCCGAGTGCACTCAACAAATGTGAGCACAGATCTGACATTACTCTCCACAGAGAGAAGCTGTTCGTCTCAACTACAAGCTTAACATCAGTTTAAAACATTAACACTGTTACCTTTGTCAGGCAGCCTCTTATCTGTTCAAGGAATTATTCAGTGTGGTCTCGTGGGGGGCCAGAGGGGAAATATGCACAGATTATTATTGTTCTTTTTATAGAAGTTGGACTTTTCTGCTGCTGGAGTGCACCACACCGTTGCACGAGCCAATATCTGACATACATATTTCACTGTGGCAGCTGCAGCTCTCAGTTTTCATCACAGGCATAGTTAACATCATACGCATCATCATCTTTTAGATACTTCTTCTTTTTAAAAAACATGATGTGATTTAAATACAAAGCTGGTGCTGCCTTTGTATTCAAAACACTTCAACTTTATAAAATTGCACTTAAATAATTAAACAAGCATCTGCACAAATCGTTCCATTTTCAAGGTAGGTAGGGCAGAATATTCATCCCAGGTGTCCATCAATGACCCTGTGGGAATAAATCTGTCCTGGTACAGTGGTTGAGTTTACAACACAGTGACTTTTCTCATCAGCAGCTCAGTTGGATGAGATTTGAAGGGGCTTCTGTTTGAATAAAAGTAAACTTATTATTTTTATTGGATCCACATACAACTGAAGTGTTTTTAACGTCAAAGGTTCAAGGTTCCTTATTGTCATTCACATCACATGTGGTACATGAGGGGGAATGAAATTGTGTACACAAGGTACACCCCAAAATATAAAGTATTAAAAGAAACAGTATGTAAGAATCTAAGATATACATTAAGATATATGCTAAATGAACGCTAAACGGTATATGCTAAAAGATCTAAGATATACACTAAACACTAATAATGTAAAATAATACAGTATATTAAACAGCAGCCTGAACATGAGTCTGCGTGAGCAGATGAGTACGAATACAGCAGCATAAAGGCAAAGGATCAGCAGCATGGCTAGTCAGCAGCACAGATAAGTCACATATCACCAATCAAAGTGGCATTACAGTGATTATCCTGGTTAGGGATTTATGAGTCTAACAGCATCAGGGTAGAAGCTTTTAACTTGTAACTTTAAATAAAACCTTTTGGGTTGTTGTGTTTTTTATATTGTAACCAACAGCTAAAATACATCTTGTCATTTAAGCATATTGTTTTTAGCTATAAGGTCAAAAAATTACCTTAAAATGAAATGCACAGTCTTTGAAGAAACATTTATTGCTCAGCGGCTTTCAGGCCAGAGTTTTAGATCAAAATCATCTTGTGCTGAGAAAGAAAATCTTTGCAGAGAGTGGTGAAGGCTGCACAGAAGTCTGTTGGAGTCAGTCTCCCTACCATCAGACATCTACACTTCCAGATGCAGGAAGAGAGCCACCTGCATCATGAAGGACCCCACTCACCCAGCACACACACTTTTTGCCCCGCTCCCCTCAGGAAGGAGGTTGAGGAGCATTAAGTGTAGAACCACTAGACTGAGGAACAGCTTCTACCCTGAGGCTGTTAGACTCATGAATCTCTAAACAGAATAATCACTGTGAAGAATCACACCACGTTGCTGCTGATCTGTTTCATGTTGCTGCTGATCTGTTTCATGTGGATGTGTTCATTCATGCTCACACAGACTCATGTTCGTGCTGCTGTTTGGCGTATTGTTTTTATGCTACTAGTGCTTAATGTATTTTTAGTTTATGTTTTTCTTAGTTCATATCTTAGATCTTATTACTGATTTTTTTCTTTTACATTTTATTGTTGAATGTAACTGGGACCCTGTGTACGTAATCTCGTTCCACATGTGGTGCGAACGACAATAAAGAAACTCTGACTCTGATAAGGAGGTACGACCGTTTTGTTCAAATCTTAAAAATTAACCTGATGTGCAGTTTCATGTGATGTTATGAGGAGTCGCCAAATCAGTCGCTTCTCAGATTATTTGTGGTGAATGACTGTCTGCTACTCCCACATCAAACTTTAGCTTAGTATTTGTAAATTTAACTGATTTATAGTTGTTTGTGTTTAAGGTTGCTTAGCTGTGGCTGCTCTCAGCTACTACCACACCAGAATGAATATTTAACAAACAATAAAGTAAATTTTTTTTTCAACCTTTATTTATACAGGTTAATCCCATTGAGCCTCGGGGACTCATTTACAAGAGAGACCTGGTGTTAACAAAAAAGAGTAATGACAACAGTGGAACAACGACAGCAATAGACAATCATAAAGGATGCGTACAAATTAATTATTTTTATAAGAAATATAATCAAAGTAATAGATCAATGGAGAGCTTAACTATATTAAAGCTGAATTTTTCTGACTTTTATGATAAACTAAAAAGGTTTAGTTTCAGTGGTTCTAAATGAAGAAAAATGCATCAGACCCCTCCACAACACTTCAGCACATGTACAAACCTTTATTGTTAGAAGGCCGATAACGCTCCTCAAACCAAATGACCTTTTCTGACTGAACCTTTTCTTTATGTCTGTCTGATTTTAGGAAACAAGATGGGAGCGACCCCCGGATATCTGCGCCACTAGAGCCTCCGATGCTCCAGACGCCCCCAACACACACAGCCTTGCCGCTTCACAAGGTAGGGAGGAGAAGCAGGTGGGGGTGGGAGGGTGGGGGTTAAGTCTGAACTGTGACCTCCTGACCTTATCTGATACAACTCTGTGTGACCCCTTCTTTCCATGATCTTTGTTACACATCACTTCTCATTCTGTCTCTTGTTCTTCTCTCCAAACACATTCTTCATGTTAATTCATCTCTTTCAGTCCTCAAGGGTGAAAGTCTTTTTTTTTTATATAAATCTTTGATTCTTAATCTTGTCTTTTGTATAGTTTTTGTAATTAGGACACAGACAAAGCTCCGTCACTGTGATTATCATGTTTGACTGACTCGATTAATAGAGGCCTATTTTTAGCAGGAAACAGTCAGCCAGATGCCAACCAGTTTTCAGACAAAAGATGCGTTAACGTGATTCCATGAAGGCTTTCAAATCACAGCACTTTCAGTATAAAACACGACCTTTGTCACCTCCTAACATCATCAATCATGCTGGTGGTGGAGATTCAGTTTAGGGCTCAGTTGCTTTCTAAATCCAAAACTAAGTAACTGTTTTAAAAGATTGTTTTAAAGGCTCCGATAAAATATTACCATTCATCCAGACATTTTTTTTTACTTTAGAGCAAATTAGCCACATTCAGTTAAATTCAATTCAGTTGATTTATACAGCACCAAGTCACAACAGAAGTCATCTCAGGGCACTGAACAGAAACATTCATATACATATAAAATAAGTTAACACCATTTATCTGAGGAGCAGACTGCTTTGAGTTTAACTTAATCGCAGACTCTCATCTTGAGCAAGCATGAAGGTAACAGTGGAAAAACTCCCTCATGAGGAAGAAACCTCCAGCAGAACCAGGCTCAGGACAAGCAGCTATCTGCTTTGACCGGCTGGGTTTGAGAGGAACAGGAAGGAGGAACAGATACACAATGGCAGGTCAAGAATCATGTTAAAATAGAAATAGAATTAAATGAAAAGTATTCAGTTTTAACAATTCATTTTAAGAAATTAGAACAATTTGTCCTCTCGTAGGCTAAGCCTATAGCAGCATAACAAGCCAACCCTAACTATAGGATTTATCAAAAAGGAAAGTCTTAAGTCCGGTCTTAAAACTGGACAATGTGTCAGCCTCATGGACAGAAACTAGAAGTTTGTTCCACAAGAGAGGAGCCTGATAACTGAAAAATCTTCCTCCCATTCTGTTTTTGGAAACTCTAGGAACTACAAGTAAGCCTGTAGTCTGCGAGTAAAGTGCTCTGTTAGGAAAATATGGAACAATAAGATCTGTAATATAAGATGGAGCTAGGTTGTTGAGAGCTTTGTAGGTTAGAAGTAAGATTTTGAATTATATTCTGGATTTGACAAGGAGCCAGTGGAGAGAAGCTAAAACTGGAGAGAGATGATCTCTGCTGCAGATTCTGACCTAATATCCTATTTTAAAAATTCACAAAGAAATCTGAAACCAATGTGACTGAGCATCAATAACAATAATAATAATAATAAAAATCTAAGACAGAATGCAGAAAGAATAAAATCATTTTATTGTGACAGCACCAAGCAAGTCCTTCATGCTGTGCACATGTTTGGAACACATTTTCAGTGCTGGATACATAATATGTAAAAATAAAAAGCAACAGGGGATTTTTTAGGGACCTAAAAGATGGAAAAGATCTTTGCTCTGTAGTGATCATAATCTTATAAAATCTCACTTATGTCAGAAAAGTTTTATAAGGAGCCTAAAACTTTGGAATAAGCTTAAAACTGAATCTGTGGGCAGCAAAGCGAGCAGGAGAGGATTGAGATTAGAAAGGTGGGGTGTTTAACTTTTGATCCCTGCAGCTTTCTGTACTTACCTGATTGTTTATCAGGCAAGTCATACAGACATTTGAAACTTTGTAAACTGATTTATATTCTGCTCATGATACTTTCTCTTTCCTTCTCCACAACTCTGACACAAAGCAGGATGCTTAAAAAAATAAATAAATAAATAAAATTTACTACCTTGTTATATTTCCCCTGGATTTGTTTCCTATGTAAACTAACTAAATAAATAAAACTATAAGAACACGATTAAAAGTATGGGCATGTGTTATGCTGGAGTAAAATATCAGCTTTGTGGGCCAAGACTCAGAGGAGTGTATCACTTTAATCACAGCTCTGCAAAAACGAGGTCAATCAGCAATTAACCCCAGCAGGTCTTATAGTTATAGACTTCACCTTGACTGCTACACTGTCAGGAAGATCTCACAGTAACATTAAAACATTGTTTTCAGAGTTTAATGCCCAACTCTGCGGAAAAACTGAATAAAATATGTAAAGTAAACAATTTGTGACCCACTTGAGGCAACAATCTATACAAACCTCACTCACTGCCTCACATTGTATGAATGATGCTACAATAAAAGCATGTTTCTTGCCATATAACAACTCTTTACTCACTGATTTCACTGATCAGAATGATTTATCTTCCAAGCTTATTATTGATCAAAGCATAATAAGCTCTGAATCTGCCTCATGGACCCTCCTTAATGCGCTCTGAGAGGACATGCAGCGTTCCAGATGAAAAGTCTGCAGGACAGAGGAGTTGTCTGTCGTCATAATACCAGACCAGTTAGTTTCAGAATAAAAGATCTCACTTCTTTCTGGGACAGCTTCACTCCTTGGGGATCTCCAGATGTTAATAAAATCATAGAATCGAGTAATTTCACTTCCTTCTCCTTTAAATGGCCCAGCCCTTTTTTGGGTGAAAACAAATAGTATAAAACTGCTCGTGACGAACTGGAAATCGTTGTGCCTAAATGGATTTATGTTGCATTTTATTTGGCTGAAGTAAAAAAAATAAAATAAAGGTAATTGCTAATTTAATAATAAGAGATTGTGGCTTTAGGGTCATCCACCCATCCATTATCTTTACCAGCTTCTTCCTTTTTGGGTCGCAGGGGTCACTGGGGCCCATAGCTATCACTGTGTGAGAGGCAGGGGACACCCTGGACAGTCTCCAGTCCATCACAGAGACATAGAGACAAACGAGACAAACAACATTCACTCTCTCACTCACACCTAGGGACAATTTAGAGTCACCAATCAGCCTAACATGCATGTTTTTGGTCTGTGGGAGGAAACTGGAGCACCCGGAGAAAACCCACGCATGCACAGAGAGAACATGCAAACTCCACCCAGAAAGGTCCCTGGCTGGGATTGAAATCGGCAACCTTCTCGCTGAGAAGCAGCAGCTCTACCAACTGTGCCACCATGCTGCACTGGGGTCACCCAGACAGGGTTCATTGTTAACAGGGGGAGATGTTTTGTTGCGTCATAATACACATTTATATCATAAATATACATTTTAAGCGGCACCATTAGTAAATCTTTCATTACCAGAAATGCATTAAAACTTTAGGAAGTTGAGGGTGATGCAGCACCCCATATGGTTGCAAGAGAACATGTATTTTCAAATAGTTAAATCATTAATGGGAAAATAATTAACAATTCTGCACATTTAAAAATCCCACAATGTTTAAAATTACAAATTTTCAGTAAATACATACTGTTACTGCATACTTGTGTGCAAAATTTTACAGCTGCTTAAAACTCACAAGGACAGAGAACAGATTAGCATTTAGTCATTATTGCAATTTTACTGTGTATACTTTGAATTGCCTGTCAAAAATCAGCATATCTTTTAATATCCATATTCAAACAAGACAACTTGCACTGCCAGTGTACAATACACAGCCTGTACAGTGTTTGATACTATTATATTTTTATAGGAGTTTGGGGTCATACAGATACACACATGCTCAAAGTGCCCTCCAGTTAGAGCACTTTTTACTATTATGGCTACTGGTTAACCCACTCTGAAAGATGCTAGTTATCATGTTGAATAACAAAAGATAAAATTTGATTTGTTTACTGTACCTTTAACTCTTGGCAGATAGCAAAATAAAGCAGCTTAATAAAGACAGACAAAACAAGTGTAAGATGTACGATGCATTCTCCAGGGATGTGTCATATCTGCAAGAGACAATAAATCCTCTCAATCAAGATATCAAGCCTCTGGGTGGTGCAGTTTGTCCAACCGGATGAAATTTAATCCATATTTCTGAAGGTTTTTCCGAACGTTGATTGGCAATGACATTAAATAACTACTTGATTGACAGCTTTAATAGCTGGGCACTTAAAAACTTCCATCCAGAGCTGTAGTCTTATGTAACAAAGCATTTTTACTTCACTTCAGGAGTTCCATTTACCGCCACTCAACGATGAGGAGTTGTTTTCACCCAAACAGTGGTGGGAGTTTTATACCAGGGGCCAACAGCTGAGTGCCTGCATGTGTTGCTCTAATCTATTGTTAGTTGTAGCATTGTTTTAGAGGAGAACAGAAATAAAAACCAAACAGCAGAAACCGAATCCCCACATTCTTCTTCTTGACCTACAAGCTAGCGTTAGCATTAGCACAGCTGGCTGCAACTGGTTAATGATCCATTGCTTTAAAAGTAAGAAATGAGATTTGGGATTGTTTATGATTCTTTATTTTTTTTTTACGTGTGTGGTAATCTTTAACAAAAATAATTATTGTAGCATGTGTAGGGTGGCACGGTGGCGCAGTTGGTGGAGCTGTTGCCTCTCAGCGAGCAGGTCCCCCCTGCTCAAATCCCAGTCTGGGGATCTTTCTGGGTGGAGTTTGCATGTTCTCTCCGTGCATGCGTGGGTTTTCTCCGGGTACTCCGGTTTCCTCCCACAGACCAAAAACATGCATGTTAGACTGATTGGTAACTCTAAATTGTCCCTAGGTGTGAGTGAGAGAGTGAATGGTTGTTTGTCTCGTTTGTCTCTATGTGTCCCTGTGATGGACTGGAGACCTGTCCAGGGTGTCCCCTGCCTCTCAGACAGTGATAGCTGGAAATGGGCACCGTGACCCCCACGACCCAAAAAGGAAGAAGCGGATAAAGATAATGGATGGATGGATGGATGGATGGATGGATGTGATGTGCAGCTTCAATACTGACGGTGCAGACAACAAAGCTTGCTGTAATGCTGACTGTTAGTCACAGCCATGGTAACCATTGGCAAGCTGATATCCAGCCAGTGTTCAACTAAAGGGCAAGTCTGTGAAAACTGAATTTTGATATTGGTGCATTAGTTAGAAGTCCTTCAGAGGTGGTCTTCTGCCCTTTGGCTGTTTGTAAACAGTATTACGTTGCAGGAGTTTTCTATGGGAATAAAAGACTTGGACTCCACCTCCAACTGTCTGTCAGCCAAGGACAAGATACAGTCAGTAAATATTAGAGGTGGACGACATGTGGTGCTGACTTCTTTCTGTGAAGAGGATAAAAAGGCTTGGTCGACTAAGGAATACATCTCAAACTCTCTGAAGAGGATACTTTTCTTTGCCACCTGAGACATTTTCACTGATAACTGTGTGTTTTACAGCACTCATTGGAGAAGCCTTTGAATCTTTTCTCAAGCTTTTTTCTTTTCTTTTTTTTAATGGCTGCAGTCAACAGGGGTGCAGCCTTAACTCAGGTGTGACGGGGCAGAGTTAGCGTTCAAGAAAAGCTCAGCTGTCATGGAGAATTTGATCCAGACTTGTTAAAGTCAGTGAAATATTTGTGAAAGCTGCAGGATTCAGTTCACGGGGAGGTGACTATGGCTGAACATGTTGACAACCAAAACTGTGCCCCAGTGGTGACAAAAACTCACTGGAAGAAATCCAACAGAGTAAGTAGTTTTATTTTGAGAAAATGATAAAATACATGATGTACTAGACGTGAAATGCAGTTAAAAGTGGAGCAATTTCAATTATTTATTTACTTATTTACAAGCCAAAGAAAAAAAGAACATCTTAATGGAGATTATTTTGAATAACTTTCATGGTTCATGCATAACATATGCCCAAAAATACGGCAAAAGCTCAGTAGAACAGCTCATCCTATTCTAATCTCTGGTTAGGGTCCCAGTTATTGACTTTATGGGTTTGTGGCAGACTGTTGTTTGCACATGGTGGAGGACTTTACTCATTTTCACACAGAGCTAAGACATGATTGCTCTGTACACAAAGTGTTTGTGTCAAGCTTTGCAGGTTGAAACTTTTCAGCCTTTTATTAGCCACACAAGCCTGACCCGTCCACAGATTGTAGTCGTTGTAATTCACCATTTTTGAGGCACTTGTATACTGACGTCGTGCTCCGCTGGAGGTTTTGCATGTGCTCATTTAAAAGACGATTCTGCAAAAAGGTAAAATATTGATTGAGATGAATGCATTCATGGACAGCTGATCAAACAGAGGGTTTAGCATGGAAAGAGAATACCCATTAGTAGCTCAGAACAGATAATTAACATCATGTTGTGAAGCTGCATACTCAATGAAATCTAAATATTGTTAATTTCTGAATCCCTGCAGAAATCTGCACAGACAAACTATGTTTTCTGACTCTGTATAACTTGATTAAAATATTACAAGTCCTCTCTAAGATAGCATTCAGCCGCTCTCTCCTTAGGCTCGTGTTTCAGGAGTTTTTCCTCGTTTTATGTTTAAATCCAGTTTTACCACACATCAGCACAGTTTACCACAGTGGTTTGTTTACAACCTCTGCAGTCAAACCAGTTTGGGATCAAATTGCAGCCCAACAATAGGAACCGTGTAAAAGATAACTGCTCCTGCTTTGTTCATTGTCAACCCCTATAATACAAGATATACAGATCTCCTTACTGTTTTCCATACAATGGCCATTTTCATGGGATATTTAAGTAAAAACAATAATCACCCTGTGACTGAATGAAAACTGATCTTTAAAAGAAGATCAGGGAATTAAAGACGTTGTAAACAGTGTTATTTGTATGATGCCTGACACACAAACAACATGTAAACAAACAGTATTTTGCAGATTAAATATGTTTGTCACCACACCATCCAAACACGGTTCTCTGCTGACCTTTATGACCAACTCAGAAATGTCATCTCCTCTCCCCAGAACACAGATTTATTTGAAATGATTGAAAAGATGCAGGTAAGACGACACACAGACCTTTGTATTTTGTCTCGACTCACTAAGCTGAAGTCACTAACCAGTCACTCCGTCTCTTCCTAATCCTGCAGCGTTTGTTTTCTGACTCCAGCGCTTCTTATCGTTTCTGTGTGAGAGAAAGGATATCGAGTCTGGTGCATTCAGAGGAGTGTTCCTTTATATTTTCTTACTGTTAACGTTGTGGTTGAAACACCGGCTGACAGCACTGTAAGCGAATTATCTCACTTCAAAAGATATCTCCTGCTTTCTTAAAGCTTTAGGATGTTTTATTCTCAATCCCACACAGAGGAAGGTAAGAGTTTTATGACAGAGCTTATCAAATCGCACACTGCTGTTGTGTGTTTGCAGTTTAGTGATGGAGTGCACATGAGTCATGGGCAGACTGGATAGCTTTTGGTGGCTTTATCACCAGTCGTGTCCGTTTTGGCACAACTAGATAAAGTATTTTTTATGCATATTGAAAATGTGTGCTGCAGAGCTGTCTTTTTCAGTACTGATGAGATGTGCTCATCTTCCTTGAAGGCAGGCAGCATCACGCAGCTCTTCCTCTGCATCGTCCCTCCTCGCTCTCTTCCACACTAAAAACCCCACCTGAGGTGCATTGCGATGGATATCAACCTAACGTTCAACTTGCAGGGTCATATTCTCACAGTCCTGCTGTGGGTTTTATGCACTCTGCAGCCACTTCCCACTCCTATCTCTGAAACGTCTCTCTTTTCAGTGTTTTTCCCCGTTTTGTTGTGTTGCTTGCTGCATCGTGTGTCTCCTGGGAAAATGATGTTCTTATAATCATTTTTCATCCAGTTTCTCCGCTTTCTTTCTACAAATAAATCTCTTTTCTCTAAAAAGTTATTTATTTTTGCATTTTTACTGTTGCTCAGTGGTGTTCTCGTTGAACTTGTCTGACAGGGCAGCAGGATGGATGAGCAGAGATGCAGCTTCCCTCCACCTCTCAAGGTACAGCTCCATTTTGAACTGTTTGACTTGTTACCTTCAGGAAAGCGCTACAGGTGCATCAGAACAAGAACAAACAGATTCAAGAACAGTTTTTTTCCCGAAAGTCTTCACCACACTGAACTCACACATGTACTGATTTAATAATCTAACCTCCCACACCCCTGGACTTCTATTGTGCAAAACTACTGACATTTCATACTCTCAGTCACCTTAACTACCTCACTAATATCCATAATGTGCAATATAATTGTGAAATACTTGCATTTTTTACTTTTATAGTGCTATTATATATATATTGCGTTACATTTTTTATGTTTTTAGTTTGTGTTTTTCTTAAGCATGTTGTTGCACTGAAAAAAGGAGTGGCTCTTAATTTCATTGTACTTGCGTGTAATGAAAATAAAGGCATTCTGATTCTGATATATATAAAACAATCTCATCAACATGACCACAACATAAAAGTGTTACTTTGATTCTGATGTGCATTGATGATGGTCACGGTTAAACAGATTTCTAGTGCACAACAGTTGTCTAATTACAATGAAACAGCGTCCTTTGGGATTGTTAGTTATTTTTTATTATTTGATGAGGAAAGAACATTTTATATATTTATTTTTCAGACTGAAGAGGATTATATTCCATACCCAAGTGTCCATGAGGTAGGAAGATGTCTTGCAGCTTGTTCATCTTTATGTCTCCTAATGTGTATGCATGAGCACAGTTCTGTGTGTATCCTCTGAAACAGGTGCTGGGGAGGACGAGCCCCTTTCCTCTCATCCTGCTGCCACAGTTTGGTGGTTACTGGATTGAGGGGACCAACCACGAGCTGGGTGAGGCCGAGCTGCCCCGGCCTCCGTCCCCGAACACTCGCACCAAACTGGAATGTAACACAACAGCTGCACTCTTCAGGAAACACTTCCTGGGAAAGGTCAGCTGCACAACACTCACAAATGTTCAGTGTCATGTTTAAAACTTTATATTTTAATGTAATTTCTAAAAAAAAAAGTAAAAAAAAAAAAGTAAACGGCATAATTGTTGTGCGATTGTTCTATGGAACCGACAGGAACAACTAGGTCAAAATGCAGGCTGTAATTATAATATAAACTGTTTTTGTATGTTTAAATATGAATATTTGGATGTTTTAGATAAACGTTGTAGGATGTTGATGTACTGCCCCAAACTCTGAAATAACTCTGTTTTCTTCTAAGTTAAAAAATACAGATGTTTTTTGCATAAATGAAAAGAAATATAAATTAAACAAATGTTAAAGATGCTGCCAGTTGCTCATTAAAGCTAATATAGTAACTACACACCTGTCTGTCACTCCCTGATGGCACACTTAATAAGACTGGCAGACAGAAATACAAACAATTAAAAAAAAAACTTCAGTCAGTGTGTCAAAATTGTAAATTAAATTAGATTTTTTTTTAATCCTGAACTATAAGTATGGTAAGTATGATGAGTAAACATTAGTATTTTCTATGTCTACAGTGTTTTGTGCAGGGTCGGACAAGTTACAAATAATCCCCACTTTCTGTATTGAAGAGAGAAATCTGAGCCCAAATACAATGAAAGTCAATGAGCGTTTAGGTGTGTGCCCCTGAAGAGAAAACTAAAAGTCCTTTAGTAATGAGACACTTGGTTAAAAAAATGACCAAGGTCTTATTTTTTGCTGTATGTAAAAAAACAAAGTTTAACAGGATAAGAAGAGTTTTGTTTGCAAAAAAATTGTGAAAGCTCATTATGATCTGGTGGTACGTTGAACCCAAGTGCAGACAGACGCTCGGGGAACTCGAAGGTAAATAAGAACGATATTTATTATGACAAAAAAAAAAGTGGCAGCAAACTTACATGTATGGAGGGAACGTGGACGAGGAGACAGAACGTGATGCCTTAACAGGACAACAGACAGGGGGACAATCAGGAAACAGACTACATAGAAACACTAACGAGGGGATAAACACAAACACCTGGGGAAGGACAACAGGTGGCAGAGGAGGAGCTGAACACACATGATGGAGAAACACTGAGGAGGGCAGGACAGATGACACCAAACTAATATTTGTTATAAGGCTAAATCTTTTACTTGATCACTTATTGACAGAGCGTTGTGTGTTTATTGAGCTCAGGGTGAAGAAAATACCCACATTCAGTGCAATCTTTAAGGTTATGGAGGTAGCAGGGGCGATTCTAGACTCTGACCTTTAGGGGTGCTCAGCCCCCAGTGCTCATAATGGCTCTTGGCTTGAACAACGTGGTGGCCACTGGCATCAGAGGCATTCATAATGTGGGGCACGTCTGGGGCTCCTCCCCCAAAAAATTTTGAATAAAGTAGATGCCATTTCCTGCATTCTGGTGTATTTTAACAGGTTGTTAAACATCAAGATTTACCTACATTAGTAAACACTTGATTCAGAGCTCGGCACAGCAAGAAGTAGCTCTAAGCTAGCGACGTGCAATACAGACACGCTAGCTAAGATGCTACAGATGTAGCACTTTGCTTTACATTACACAACCTAATAAACTGTACAAAATCAGTTTAGTGTTAACTGATCATAACAAGCAAAGACTAAACTTATGCAACCAGAAGTTACACATCTTCATATAAAACACACAAAACAAAGCACAACTAGCTTCAAGCATTAACCTTTAATTTAACCATTAAGATTTAATTTAATTATGATGAAAAATGGAGGATTTACCTGCAGTTACCTTCGTACAGATGAACATGTGGTACTTCCTGTTTGTCACTGTCGTATTCAGCTGCTCATGAGGATGGCCTCAAGGCTTTATCCAGAGGTACTGAGTTCAAATTAAGGGGTGCTTGAGCACCCCCAAAAAGAGGCTAAAACCGCCACTAGGTGGTAACTCGGTTTATATTATTTTCTATATCTTTCCAAGTGTTTTGGGACAAATTGTTGTAGGAATCAGACCTGTGTCCTGCTTGAGTTGTCCTGCTGTTTCATTTGGATTATACATTTTGATAGTATCGTTTCCCTTTTTACGAGTTTTCCTATTAGACAGAAAGATATTTAAAGGAGTTAGTTTGTTGATGACAATAAATGTGTTTATCGTTCTGTTCTGAAGTTATTCTTTTTCATTAGGAGAGTTTTATCTTACTCATAAACTTTCTGACCTACTTTTTCATTTTGTTAGATTTATATTAATTTCATTTTTTCGGTGTGAGTTGTTTTAGTTAATTTTAATGACTGAAACGTCACATAAATGTGTAGAACATTTGCAGATCTCTAGGGCTTTATAATGATTTTTATATCTTTATGAATTCCTTGATCAAAACTGCTCGTTTTTCTTCCTCACTGGCCAAAAAGAAAAGTTGGCACCTTCTAACTTCTTGCAAGAAAAATGAAAAAATCAGCAGAAACCGACCTCTGTGTTTGGCATCGCACACACTGCTGCTAATGAAGATGCATTATTTTCTGTCATGTTCTAACAAAAATAAATTTGTTCAGCATGTGGTAAAAAATCTGCACAAACCATCATGATTATTCATGTGTGTTGGTTTATGACAGAAACTAATGGTGCCCTGCTTGCACTGTGCCCCCAGGAGCACTTTAATTACTATTCAGTGGACAGTAACCTCGGACATCTGGTGTTCTCCATAAAATATGATGTGATTGGTGACCAGGAACATCTCCGCCTCATGCTCAGGTAACACACTCCATGCATGCAGAACAATGTTTCTGTCTGGGTAATGCTCAAAGACAAATTCACCACTTCTACGTAATGAAACAAATAAAAAAAAAAAAATAAAAATAGAACGCATCATGATAATTTTTTCCTCCGATGCTCAGTGTTGACTGAATGCACACGTCCTTCCTGGGTGTTATTGTAGAGGCCATAAAGCTAAAGAGAGTGTCAACACAACAGTCATTCTCACAGCGGAGGAACAGATGGACTGTTTAGACCAGCGAGTAGGTGGCTGTGCAGGGAGGGAAGGCAAAGAGAGGCCAGGGTGGGGACATCTGATAATGGGACAAACCGGATCATCTCTTGGACATCTGATGGAAATGTTCCAACACTGATTATTTTATGACTTCACCAGGACCAAGCTGAAAACCCACCAAGATGTCATCCCCATTTCCTGTCTGACAGAGTTTCCTAATGTGGTCCAAATGGCCAAGGTGAGAAAACATGTTTTTGTTTGAACAGCATCAGTAATGAAGAAGTCTAATACAATATAACAGGCTAATTTTGATATTTTCTCTTTATTTCCACCTCAGCTTGTCTGTGAAGAAGTCAACGTGGACCGCTTTTATCCTGTCCTTTATCCAAAAGTAAGTTCTGATCTGTGACGTTTGCAGCCTCAGTTTTGAACATTTTCTTTCTAGTTCAATCCCAAGATTGAAAAATTAAATCATAGGACACACTCTCTTTTTGCTTTAAACTTTAATAGCTGGGCATTGGAAAAGTGAACACTGGGCTGTAGACACAACTGTGTCAACCTATACAGCCAATCAGAGCAACCAAGTACAAATATATTAAATATATATAATATATATATATATATAATATATATTAAAGCATGTTTTACATTTATATAACTATCTTGTGAGTCGTTTAAATGTAATGCTTTAGGCTGGGGCTATGTAGCTTTAGTCACATTTGGGCCATATAATATCAATGTGTGGCATGGAGGCTGCACAGCAGCAGAAAGAAAAGCTTTGCAGAGAGTGGTGAAGGTTGCACAGAAGTCTGTTGGAGTCAGTCTCCCCACCATCACAGACATCTACACCTCTAGATGCAGGAAGAGGGCCACCTGCATCATGAAGAACCCCACTCACCCAGCACACACACTTTTTGCCTCCCTCCCCTCAGGAAGGATGTTGAGGAGCATTAAGTGTAGAACCAATAGACTGAGGAACAGCTTCTACCCTGAGGCTGTTAGATTCATGAATCTCTAACCAGAATAATCACTGTGAAGAATTAAATCATGTTGCTGCTGATCTGTTTCATGTTTCTGCTGATCTGTTTCATGTTGCTGCTGATCTGTTTCATGTTGCTGCTGATCTGTTTCATGTTTATGTGTTCTTGCGTGCTCATCTGCTCACACAGACTCATGTTAGTGCTGCTGTTCGACGTAATGTTTTTATGCTATTAGTGCTTAGTGTATTTTTAGTTAATGTTTTTCTTAGTTCATATCTTAGATGTTATTACTGTTTTTCTTTTACATTTTATTGTTGGATGTAACTGGGACCCTGTGTACAAAATTTCGTTTCACCACATGTACCACATGAATTCAGTTCAATTCAGTTTATTTATATAGCATCAAATCACAACAAAGTTGTCTCAGGGCACTTTACAGAAACATTCACATACATAGAAAAGCCAATTAATAAAGTTCTCTATCTAAAGAAGACAGCAGACATGTCAAAGTAAAAAGAACTAGGTTTCTGTTTTGGAGTTAGACAACATTTTGTCTTTCTTAATTCAAAACTGTAAAATGTGAAGCTCCAAGCTTTAAATTGCATCATTCTCCATTGCACAGCTAAATTTACATACAGATGAATCTCACTCCCCTGTCACTGGAAAGTCATTAAGGTTTATGTTTGCCTGGCTCACAAGAGAGAGAGATGCTAGTCTCATGAATGAAGGCTTCCACCCCACAAACCATCAGTCTTCTCTGTCCAAACCATGAACATCATGGTCTTCAAAACAGTGACCCCCATCACTGAGGTGTTGGTTCACAGCTGAGTCTTGTCCACTCCTGTCTTGAGCCATGCTCCTGTGGAGAGACTGTCATTTCTCCAGTATGGAAGCCTGAACCTTACTGGTTGCACTGAACTGCAGACATCCACTGCTCAAACCTAAACACAAAATGAGCAGTGACCAAAGCACAGTTGTTCACATGAAATTATGTGGTCATTTTCAAGTGCAAGTAGCTAGTTGCAGCTTTTCTGATGCAGCCTGCAACACTTTCTGCTGTTTTTTTACTGAAATAATCATGTACCATAAAATTGACAGAAACATAAAAGTTTTATTAATATTTTCTTAATTAACTTCTTTGAAGTTTAGAAGAATGAAGTTGTTTTAAGCATGCATCTGGTCTTGGCTGTGGTGGAAAAAATATCTAAAAAAAACATAATTTTTACATGAACGCTCCTTGTGTGTTACCTGTTGTTCTGTCTGTACAGCACTTTGGTTGGCCTTGTTGCTGTTTTAAGTGCTTTATAAATAAAGTGGTATGGTACAAACACCCTGTAGATGCTGGATGCTGTCTATCATGGTACACTAAGATCTGGCTGTGATTATCGTACCCACCCCTGCACCCTGTGTTAACTGGTTAACTGGTCATCATTAACTTCACACAGACTCTCCCACTGGTACATTTTCATCTTTAAATCACTTCTTCATCTGCTGCCTTCATACATCTCCTCCTACATGTTTCTGCGTGAGTGCAGCTACAGCAAGCATGGAAAACCCCCAGCCCGTGGGCCGTATATGGCACGTTGGGCATTTTAATTGGCCCGCCAAAATTGTCCAAGATTTGGACAATAAAAAATAAATAAATTTAAAAATTAAAAAAAATTTTTTTTTAATACTTTATTTTTCAGGGATGCTGAGGTAAAATTTAGGGGTGCTTAAGCACCCCCCCCCCCCCCCCCCCCAATAGAGGTTAATATCGCCACTGGTTCAAATTATATTTAAAAAACTGAATTTAATAGGGAAAAAAACTGGTGTCGTTTTACCTGTAGTTCCAGCATTTCCCCAGTAGAGGCGCATTACAGACACTGGCGTGTATTATGGCCCGGCCCTTCGCTCCAATTTTAGAACTCAATGTGACACGCAAGTCCGAAAGTTTGTCCACCCCTGAGCTACAGCGTGCGCTCTCAGGACATTATTACCTGCAGTGTTCCCTCAGTGAGGACTGAACTTGGCAAAAGGGTCTTCTACTCCGCTCCTGTTTCCTGGAATATCTTACAAAAAGATATGAAGCTCTCGACCTTGACCTCTCTAAGTGGCTTTAAACATTTAAGTTCATGGCAAGAACCAACGCAGACATGTTCCTGTTTTTAGTTTTCTACACCGCCTTATAATCGAGCTATTTTTTGCTACTTTTTTTTGCCATCTTATTTTTATTTGTAAAAAAAAAAAAAAAAAAAAAAAACTGTGTGCCTCTTTTTTGATTGTCTATTGTTGTCCATTGTTGTCATCATTCTTTGTTGAAATCAGGTCTCTCTTGTAAATGAGTCCTCGAGGCTCAATGGGATTAACCTGTGTAAATAAAGGTTGAATGAATCACCTTGTCAGTCTGGTCAAACTGTAATTTTTATTTGTCGAGACTGATGCTGCTCAACAAACTAGTTCATAACATTTACACACAACACCACTTTAAAAAGTTTAAACATACCAGCTTGTATAAAGCTACTTGAAATAGATACCTTCCAATTCCAACATGTAGAACTGTGACTTGCTGTACCTTCATGTTAAGAGCTCATTAATGTGGCTGTGGTGAAAAGAAAAAGCTGAAACCCGAATATTTCAAAAATTATATCAGAACAGCTGAGTCATCCCCCATCGCCACAATAAAAGAATGATCCTTGAGTGATCAGGTGGGTGTCCATCCTTGCTGGATCACTAGTGACCACTGCTTTGAGTCAAGTGTTAACCAGGCTGGATAGTCTTTCTGGGTGAACAAACTGGAGCTGTCTGGGTTTTGAAAGACACGGCAAAAACTTTTCGGTCTTCAAAAAAACAGCTCACACTCCAATTTTGTTGCGTTTACTCCAGAATTGAAGGTCACTGAGACCAGATCTTTGTAAATCGGTTTTCTAATAATCCCACACAGCTATATAGTCCATGATATTTCCCCCCGTGTTAAGCAGCACCGACTGTGAGAGCATTGTATTTGAGGAATAAATTGTGCCTAATGAGTGTGCCTGCAGTGCACAGAAAAAAACTGAAGTGATACGACAGAAAACTAGCCCCAGTGGGTTAGAATCAGTCATCCAGCAGACGTGCCCAGAAAGAAAAATGTGAGGATATTATTAAAAACATTTCATTATATCTGCCAACAGGCTTCAAGACTTATTGTCACATTTGATGAACATGTGATAAGCAACAATTTCAAATTCGGGGTCATCTACCAGAGGTTTGGACAGGTGAGTTCTGCAGTCTGCACGTTAGGTTCATTTTTCTGTGATGTGTGGATCTCTTGTATTTTCCCTCCGACAACAACGTGCATGCAAATGCATTGTAATTTCTGATTTGCTCTAGGAAACTGATTATGCTCAGCCCTTCTTGTCTTAATTATGGCTTTCGCTCAAGCCCAGTCATTGTGGCTGTCTTCAGCTCACCCTCTCATTTTCTGAGCCAATCAGTCCCTTTGTGTAGCCGACTCTTTAGGGGAGTTGGGGGGGGAGACCAAAGGAATAACAGAATGCTTTTTAGAGAGTACTAGCAGATGGAGTAGAGATGCTCAGTGCTTTAGAGACAGTTCAATCTTGTAAAATATGATTCGAAACACACAGAACGCTTTTTCATCATCTCCTCTGTACGATAGTGAAACAGGCAAATTGCAATGAGGTATGGACAGTATAAATATTGAACAATGCCAGCTTCCTCTCAGGCGTTACTTCCTTGTGTTTGTTTTAGGGAATGGACTTGTGTTTCATGAGCTCTCCTTTTGCTGACAAAAGATAATCAACTGTCCAGAAAATACGTTTGGAATTGCAATCTTCTTTATCCCTACAAGTTAGTTTTAGTTAACGACATGCTGATCTTCTGGGATACAAGCACATCATGTCAGAGTCCTCTCAAGAGTTAACTCCCATTGTTTGTTTTTTTACCCTAATCTGATGCAAAACACACATCTTGCATAAAATACTTGTGCCATTAAAGTAATTCTCATTAGCAAACATGTATAACGCTCTTAGCATCTTCTAATTTTACCTGCCTCTTACTTGTTTTTGCAAGCACGAGTCTTTAATTGGCTTTACTCGTTCCAGACGTCAGAAGAGGAGCTGTTTGGCAACAGCGAAGAGAGTCCTGCCTTTGTAGAGTTCCTGGAGTTTCTGGGAGAGAAAATTGAACTCCATAACTTTAAAGGGTGAGAATCCAACAGTGGTTATCCTCTTCCATATAAAACAACAACAACTCCAATTTGTATCTCATCCTGCGCACCGTAGGAGGGATGGTCACGCTCCTGCGGTGATGGTAGAATATCCTGTTAGACACGGCTCTGTGTGTTTGCAGTTTTCGAGGAGGACTGGACGTGACTCATGGGCAGACTGGCACAGAATCCGTCTACTGCAACTACCGCAACAAAGAGGTCATGTTCCATGTGTCCACAAAGCTGCCTTACACAGAGGGGGACACCCAGCAGGTAACGTAATACCATCCCAGTCGAACACACCTATTATGATTCATAGCAAGCAGTCACACACGTTCCCTCTAGGTAACAGAGGACCATGGTTTGCATGTAAATCTCTGTTGTGCTAACAAAAACAGCAACACACACACAAATAAGATAAAATAAAATAAAATTACAAGGGTTGCTGTAAAGTGGAAGCTTATGTGAGCAGAACTTGAGCGCTCACAGCCAAATTCTGCTCCACTTCCATCTCCTTCATTTACACAAACACCAAATCAGCACTAGCTGACAAATAAACATAATTCTGTGGAAATGTTCAGTTTCCTGAAAGCAGCAGTGGCTGTTATGTATGTGCTGTGGGCCTAGTTGTGTCCTGACTGACTTCAAGGGAAACAGCACCCCTTTGTGGTGTTTCACAAATCCATACCCCATCATCCGACAAGGTGCGAGGGTGAGACATGAGCTGAAACTATTATAGTTACTCTTACTGTCCGAGTTATAAGTATTTGGTTAAGGTCAATTAACTGTAGCCATCTTGAAGTGGGTTGACTCCAGAAGATACTCAGTTGTAGACGTACATCCAATGATTACTCACCTTATATGGCAGCAAATGAAAAAAATACACTTACCTACCCCATATCAGCAGATATTTAACAAAGCATACGTTCATTTTCACACATACAGTCTCCATACGCATTTTAAATTGCTTCACTTTCTAATCACTTCCCTGTCTTTTGGCTGTTGTGTTGCAGTTGCAGAGAAAAAGACACATAGGGAATGACATTGTGGCCATTGTTTTCCAAGATGAAAATACTCCCTTTGTTCCAGACATGATCGCATCAAACTTTCTTCACGCTTATATTGTGGTCCAAGTGGTCAACCCCTGCTCTGACAATGTTCTGTACAAGGTTATTTCTTCTTACTTCCTTTTCCAGTCGTGCTCTGCAACAAATCTGTTGTTTTTTCCACAAATTATTTTTCTGAGCTGTATTTTTGCTCTCCAGGTGTCGGTGACAGCGCGGGATGATGTTCCTTTCTTTGGTCCGGCCCTCCCAAATCCTGCTGTCTTTAAGAAAGTAAGAGGAAGCACAACCTGAAAATAAGTGAGGTCATCTTTTAGTTTCCAGAGTAATATTTTGTCTTTGCATTTTTTTAGGGCCCTGAATTCCAGGAATTCCTTTTTACCAAGCTAATCAATGCAGAGTACGCATGTTACAAAGCTGAGAAGTTTGCCAAATTGGAGGTAAGTTGAGCATCATTTAGTCTTCAAGTCAAAATTAATAAATGACTTGTTTTCGTTTGTGCGTATTAGGAACGAACACGATCGGCTTTGCTTGAAACCCTTTATGAGGAGCTCCATGTGAACAGCCAGGCTATAATGGGAGTGGGAGGAGAGGAGGACAAGATTGAAAATGGGAGCGCAGGAGGAGGAGGCTTTTTCGAGTCCTTCAAGGTAACTGGAGCTTTAGGTGCACAGACTGGGAGTGTCAGCCTGGCTGCATTTAATCCTGAAACTGTCTGGGGGGTGGTGGGGATGTCATGGGAAGCTTGGAACTAACTCCTGTTTGAAAAATGACCTAATTTCCATTGAAGTGCACTTTAGCCTAAAGTCAAGACTGGAAAAAAACAGAAAAACAGGCTGGCTCAGGCAAGTTACTTCCTACAAAACAAGTAATTTGTACTCTTTATTTTGTATTGATTTAAAACTTTTGGAGGAACATTTGACACCACAGAGTTTAGTTAATTTCAGACAGTCCTTTGTTTCCATCCTTCGCTAAGCTAGGATGTCCCGCTGCTGCCTGTAACTTTGTGAAGCAAGGAGATTTGAGAGAATCATTGATTTTCTCTCTAGTTCACTCCAAGAAAGCAAGTATTTGTACTGTTAAAAATATCAAACTATTCAAAGTTCTAACATCACGTTAAGTGTTGTTACAAAGATCAGTGCCACCCAAAAGAATCAGTGTGAAGCATTGACATTTTCTTTGTTTAATAGTTGCAGTCAGATGATTTTTATGGCTTCTCTCTGACAGTTTTCCAACACTATTCTTGTCTGTATGCGTGCTGGGCTGTAAAAGCTTTATCAGTGTCCCACAGTCGGTATGAAATCTGAAAGAAGATGCTGCTCTCCTGCTGGATCGCCGCTCTGCTTCTGCTTCCCAGCTTTTATGCTCAAACGTCCTAACAGTGACTTCCTGTCTGCATGCTGCTGTGGCACCACTTGCACATTTTGTCGTGAAATTCAGCAGGACTGGATGGATTTCTTTCACCTTCACATGCCTATGTTTCTCTAAGAGGTGTGCTGGGATTTACATTTCTTTGGGCTGTGTTTAAACTCAGTGTGGTTTAGTTACTCTCTCTTCTTATGCCCCCTATGAACACAATGACTCCTCTGAACCCTCCTAAAGCTTAGCGTTCTCTGTCGCTTCCTCTTCAGTCAGGATCAGAACGATCACTTTCTGCCTGTAGTGGTCGGTGTTCAGAGACAGCTCCGAGGCTCCTCTTGGTCTGTGATTCCACACAACGATACAGAGAGCTCACAAGAGTCGTGCCATGTGAATGTATCTCCTCCTCCTCATCTCTTTCCATAGCGGGTGATCCGCGGTAGGAGCCAGTCAATGGACGCTGTGAGTCTAACTTTCAAGAGGCCGTACACAATCTCCTCCACTGTGAGCAGCACCTTTAACCACAGCACCACAGAGAGCCCCAAATTCCCTGGTATTGTAAGTACAAGTGCCACTCTTCATCTTACATAAGGCGAGCCTCGCCCTCTTCAGCTCTACTACAATTAATGCCCCGTCTTCCTCACCTGCCTGATGCACTAACTTCTCACAGAAATATGCCACACGCTCACCAAAGGAAAGCAAATTACAGTCTCTTTGGTATCGAACTTGACTCTTGCATCTCCATGGCTGCAAACGGTCAAACTTTCTACCAGAGGGCATGGGTGGAGACTGACTGATTGTTGGAAGTTGTGGGGATGGGATGGGGTAACTCTGTTTTTTACTTGTCAAGGGTTTAAATCCTAAAGCATCTGCACCGTTCACATGTTTCAGATAAGGGTTGTGTTTTTTTCTGTGACTGTGTGTTTATGTGCATGTTAATAAAGGCATGCAGACTGCTGTCACCACAAAAACAAAGGTTGAATGTGGTCACAAACAAACTCAGGTTTGTCTTCCCAGGTGAAAACCATGTAAACTGCAATTCCATCTTTTTGATCCATGTTTCCATTTTAGATTTTATGATGGTTTTATTAACTTTTGTGCAATTTCAATGTAGGATTTTGGTGTTGGATTATGCAGTGATGCTAAAACCTGCTTGAAGGTTCATTTTTTATAAACTGATTTGCCAATCAAAAATAATACGTAAATCCCATCTAAACTGTTTACGAGGTCTTCACTCATGTAGTCATATAACTGCATTTCAACTTTCATGTCAAATACACTCACAGGAAAAAACATTGGCAAGCACCCAGAAGGAATGTTCTGATGTAGATATAATTTAATCCACCTGCAGACCAACAACAGGTCAACTAGTGGTTTGACATGAAAGTAGCTGGAACAACAAAAACGGCTCCTGAGACCGTAAGTGGTGGTGTCACTAGTGACTCAATAGTGTTATCAGGTAAATGGACTGTACTTATATGTAGCACCTTTCTATCTAATCAAGATACTCAAAGCTCTTTACAACACAATCTGTGCCTCATTTACCCCTTCATACAGCACTCTACTAGATCTGTACAAAGAATTATCAGAGCTTTATCACATTCGTACGCCGATGGGACACACATCGGAGGCAATGAGGGGTTCAGTGTCTTGCCCAGCGACACGCATGTGACTGCTGGTGGAATCAAACCCCCAACTCTTGCATTGGATGATGACTGCTCTAACCATTATATTCAAATACTGCCATATGACCTCACAACATGTGCAAGTTCATTTAAATTTCACAAGTCCATCTGCAAGCTTAACTGTATTGATAGTGAGTGTATTTTTCAAGATTGGAGAAAATTGCATATTCTAAAAACTTTATTATTCAAGAAATAAAATAAGCTAAACTAAAGTTAAGAGTGTTAAACAGAGAACAGGATAGTTTTATATTGTCAGTAAAACAGTTTTAACAGCATGATGTCTGAAAGGTTTTGCTATGAGTTTGTTTATTGCCCTTAACACTGTCCTGACACAATGCTTTTCAAAAGCTGTTCCTCTCTGCTCTGTTTTTAATCTTTTCTTCATCCTCTTCCTCACAGGTGTATGACTTACATAACTGGCTCATTATTTCTATCTCCCATTCAGCTTCCTGTTTTGCACCCATGAAGCCAAACTGTCTCCATTCGTATCCTCCAGTTAACATGTGCTTTGTATTGGTTTGACTAAAACAACTTACTGCATGAAAAGCTCATATATATTTGTATAAATCTCATATTTTCTCTCCCCTCTCCCTCCTCTTTTTACTCTTGTCTTTGTCATCTGTCATCACCACTCTCTCTACCTCCCTCTGTGCTATTTTGCCTGTTTCCCTTTGTTTCTTCTCTTTCTGTTTGGCTCAGTCATTGCTTGTCCCAGGCAAAAGTCCCAGTAAATATGGACGCCGAGGCAGTGCCATAGGGATAGGAACAGTAGAAGAGGTTATTATCAAGTTCTAACTAACTTCTAACGTCTTACTTTGTGTTTTTTGTTGCTTTGATTTGTTTGCATGGCTCCTCGGCATCGTGGCCAGACATGTTTCTCTGTACATTTCAGCTGCCTAATATGTATCAGATACAGTACACACTATATGTACCACAGACAGGATCATTCTGTGAAATAACTTCTACATTTTAGGTATCTTGACATTTTACACAGATTTAAAAATATAAACTATTCCGATCATAAAGATATTGGTAAGTCTGTGATGTCATATTAGGATTTATATGATAAAAGTGAAGGCAGCACGGTGGCGCAACTGGTAGAGCTGCTGCCTCTCAGCGAGCAGGTCCTTGGTTCAAACCCCGGTCCAGGGGCCTTCTGGGTGGAGTTTGCATGTTCTCTCCGTGCATGCGTGGGTTTTCTCCGGGTACTCCGGTTTCCTCCCACAGATCAAAAACATGCATGTTAGGCTGATTGGTAACTCTAAATTGTCTCTAGGTGTGAGTGAGAGAGTGAATGGTTGTTTGTCTCGTTTGTCTCTATGTGTCCCTGTGATGGACTTGCGACCCGTCCAGGGTGTACCCCGCCCCTCGCACAGTGATTGCTGGACATGGGCACCAGCGACCCCCGTGACCCAAAATGGAATAAACGGGTAAAGAAAATGGATGGATGGATGATAAAAGTGAATTTGAGGATTTAACACTTGACATTTGGGGTAGAATTAAAAAATTGTTCTGATCCGATTGTGTTTGGTGTTCTGCTCCTTCCTTAGTGTTTTATGATAACCCTGTATTTTAACTCAAGTTAGTCGCTGTTTGGTTTAACATGATTAATATTAATGACTTAATGTCCCCACTCACATGGAAATTATAAAAAGAAAAATCCTTCCTCTTGCTCTTTGAAGCCACATTAAATTAAAGGCTTTTAAGTTCTTAATTTAAGAGCTTTAAAAGGGAGGTTGAAGGAACAAAGCAGCTGCTGAGAAAGCATTTTTAGTGGCAGGCTGTGCAGCTTTAAGCCCCTTTTATCTCTTGCTTTAGTGTGCTCTGCTCTGACAGAGAGACTGTCACCTCTGCTTATCATTAAGCTTCTAAATCCATATTTTAACTTTTTTCCACATCTTTCTAAAACCTGGAAGGGAGCAGTGTTAAAAATCAGCCTGAAAATTTAGGTTGCCACGTTCTTGAATTGCATTTTTTCTTCTGAGCCTAATAAAATGTAATTGTGGGTCAGTAAAACTCAGTATTTTGACACAACCTTCTTTCTGCTCCTGTTGGCAGTCTTTGATAATCCCAGGAAAAAGCCCTACCAGGAAAAAGTCTGGTCCGTTCAGCTCCAGGCGAAGCAGTGCCATTGGTATTGAAAACATACAAGAAGTCCAAGAGAAAAGGTGATGGAATACTCCCATTTTATTTCTTTACAGGAAACAACCCCCTCTCTACCGCCCCTTCATTATTAACTTGCTACAGCTGTCTTTTAATACATTTTAATGTCTGTACTGTAGCAGTAGAGATCCATCTCCCAATACTCAGAAGACTCCTGACAGTGGTCATGTTTCTCAAGATCCAAAATCTGATAACTCAGATCAGAGCTCTCCAGAGGTCCTCACAACCACCAAGAACAGGTGTGTTTGATGACTAAGATACTGCCAACAGTGTTTCATGTCCAAGCACCAAGTGACCCTCCTCTGTGGGGGAAACATTATGTGTCTACATGCAATAATAAGTTTGGCAAACCAGGTTCAGTTCTTATTTATGTGGCAGGACCTCGTCTATCCCTGAAGCCCACAACCTCTCCCGCTCCTCCTCCAACGCCAGCAGCTTCGCCAGCGTAGTGGAGGAGAACGAAACAGAGGCGGCGGAGGACTATGACACCGGCATGGTGAGTGGAACATCCAATTCTCACGAATATGAGGAAGCAAGATAAGCAAATTGAAATGTCCACATATTTGCCTTTCCCTCAGTCGCACGGTTCCACGTGTTTTCTGTATGCCCCCTCGCAGGAGAGTCTGTCGTCTGCAGGGACACCTCACAAACGGGACTCCCTCACCTACAGCACGTGGCTGGAGGACAGCATCAGCTGCACGAGCAGCAACAGTCGTGGTAGTTCCCCAGGTCAGGGCAGCAAATTGTCTAAACTGTTACAAGGACAAAGAAAAAAAAAGGAGAAGTAGAAGAGTATTCATGTAGAAATTAAACAAATTCATTTCTGTTTCAAAGTTTTAAGCCACTTTTCAATTAATTGTATTTTGCTTGAAATTGCACTTGTAAATTGTCTTATACAGTAGGTCTACTATGTTTCCCATAATCTTCCAGCGTTTCTTTGGGAATATCCTGATGTGTGCTTAATATTCCAGGTAGAAAAATCTATCAAAGTTGACTCAGGGCCTTTGGATGGATTAAAAATGCTTTTTGTTGAAACGTTTCATCTTTTATCCAAAAGACTTCTTCAGTCTGAGTAGCTGCACTAAACTCAGTCTTAAAAATAGGCCTTTCTCATAGTGGATCAATCAGTTTGCTGGTGACATCCAGAACTAGCTGTTCACATGATCAAGGAGGATCAGCCTAACGACTGATCATCAATGCTCTGATGGCTGTTTGCTATTCATGGGGGCTGAGTGATACTAGCAATAACAGCATTGTAAGAGGGGGACAGTTGAACCCGGAGGCCTCCACCCCTGTTTAATGATGGACGATTTATTTTCACAAAGATGGCCTCCTTTACTCCTCTCTCAAACCATCGTTCCTCTCTATCATCGATGTGAACATCTTCATTCCTGAACGAGTGACCACTGGCCTGGAGATGAGTGTAGACAACAGAGTCCTGGCCTGATGATGTTGCTCTTCTGTGCTGGTCCATCCTTTTGGCTAGTGGTTGTTTAGTTTCCCTGATGTAAGACTGATCACAGCCCTCCTGACACTGAACAGCATACACAACATTACTCTGTTTGTGCCGGGGGACTGGATCTTTGGGATGAACCAGTCTTTGCCGTAATGTATTTTGGGATTTAAAAGCCACTGGGACGTTATGTTTAGAAAATAAAAGTCTCAGTTTCTCTGAAACTCCTGCAACATACGGAATGACCACTAGTCTGGGTTCCTCCTTTTCACCTGTTGGCTGACTGGAGTCCTGTTTGGGTTTCTTCTCTGCTTTCAGGAAGGCCCAGTTAGGATATCCACATTGCTCTAGAGCAGCGGTCTGCAACTTTTATGATCAAAAGAGCCATTTTTCACATTCCTTCACTAAATTAAATGTGTCCAGAGCTGCAACAACCTGCTACAGCTGTGGTTATCAACTGGTGGCCCATGGGCCACTTTAGGTTTGCTGGAGGGGGCTTTTGTGGCCATTAAGTGTGACATTATTGTCATGAACCAGAGGCCGGATCGCAAACAACAACAACAACCACTGAGAGGGTTAAAAGATTTATTGTGAACTAAAGTAAACTCTGGAGTTGGTCCTGTTCTGGGCTGGTTCCGATCCTCTGATTGGGTAGTGTTGTAGTGGCGGGCTGCCAGTAGAAGTAGACTGATGTTAAGGTCCACTGGAACGGAGTCCCACAGGCTTGCAATTAAAAGATAAAAGTTAGTAGATGAAGGGGGAAAAAGACTAATTGGGGAAATGAATCTGTGGGAATCAGATTCAGGGGTAAGGATAAGTCCGTGATACAAAATGAGCTTGACCTTTAATCCGTGATCCATAAAACAGTCAGAAGGGAAAGGCAGAGTTCATACCGTGAAGTCAGTTGTTCAGCAGAAGTATCCAGTACGTGATCCAAAAAGAGAGTCAAAAAACAAGAGCATGAGTCGGTACCTGATCAGATGAGCAAAAGCAGACGAGGGCTGA